TAATAAATCCTTCTTGTACATGGAGTTTTACTAATTATTACTAACTAGTAGTTAAAAACAACTGCTTAAATATTACACTGGAATCTTAAGCATTAAGATTAGTAAATTCCACCGAATTAAAAATCTGGTTCGTTCCAGAAGCTGCCAAACAACATCCAATCCATACGGTTAATATTATATTTAAAGGTATTCTTAGCGATAGAATTTGTAGGAATCCTCAGCTCAATGGAATGTGATCACTCCTCCAATTGTCTCGCTCTACTGTCCACTCTCCACTCGCACTTCAAGGCAAGGACAGAGTTCACAATTGATAGGTAGATGTAAGAACTAGAATCTGGGCCTGAGAAATAGGTAACACTGCCTTCATTCAGGAGAATATACTGCTTTGGATCAGTAAAATTAAAAATTGTATTGTTATTTGCACTGTTAGTTTTGCTGCTCCACGCAGCATGATGGGCATTGATGGAGAAATCATTCCCGAAGAAAGAGATTCCCGAAAGATCGGATAAATTGTAAAAAATTCATTCATTCATTAGCTTTAATATTGTTATTCTGTGAAAGTCTATAGCATAGAGTGATTTCTCCCATCGAGGAAGAGACATACACAGCGCCCATCTCAAGAGCTTCTAGAACGAAATCCAATTGGATTTTGAAAATTACGTCCTTCTTAATAAGAAAGCGATACTACCTCATTGATTGTTTAGTTAAACCAAACCATCTCAAATTCCCTCAAGAGAAGGCTGATCCGTTTTAAGATATGTTTTTGTAATCATAAAAATATTTCAGTCTACAGCTCCAATAACTTATCTCTAAGGCCACGGCAAGATTTTAATATTATCCTGATTAGACATTGTATAAAAATTAAAATAGATTATATAATAAAGTTAGCTTTTAAAGTTATTTTTCGATCGAGTGCTTAAAATCTTACTCTTACTGTTGTATATTTTGATGCCATTCGTTAGGGCTAGGGAAGAGTGTTTTAATTGATCCATTGTTATCCCAGAATAAGCCTTAAAGTTAGCTTCGTTCTTATTTGTGATGTCCTTAAAAGTAGCTTGTTGTATATTTTCTCTCTGATTCTTTGATGTGTCGGATTCATCAGTCCTCTCTAACATAATCGCTGCATCAGGAATGACTTTGCTGGACGATCCTGCCTGCGATTCGTAAGAAATCAGTCGAAGAGCTATGTCATTGGGGGAGAAGCTTTTGTCCCTACTTCCGATGAAATATTTGCAATTTTCCTTTTGGTTCTTGTAGAATTGATTACTATTCTTTAGTCTCTCACCAACGTAGCTTAAATCCTCTTTATAAATAGAATCATGCTTGCCATTAATATTGACTGACATCCTCCTGCCATGTAACGTATGTTGTGATCTTCAGGCGAAATTTACTGATACTTGTTGATCTATTTCTTGACTAAGATTCACTCCTTGTAAATTCAAAGACCTCAGATGCAATCTTCGAGGAATGGCAGTGCGTTGATTGGATACTCTGCTTTTCAATCAATTTCTTTGCTAAACGAGATGGAGCTCTTATCTTGAATTGATGGATTCCTCGTTCGATGTCCCCTCAATTTCCATCTTGTACACTAGCGGTTCTCGCTCGCAAGCGCGGCAGAGGACGATGGGTCAGATGCAGACGCAGTATTTATCTAGGTTATTTATCACTTTCTTGTGAATATTACTTCGAGTTTAAAGCCGCAGCACAGACTCTTGCATAACGCATAATGCATAGTGCATAAGCGAATCAATTAATCAGAATCTTTTCTTTCCTTCCATTCTATGGAAAAGAAGTATTTCGATTGGTTGATTTCTTTATGCACTATGCATTATGCTTTATGCAAGAGTCTGTGCTATGACCATTATGCCCATTTCTACCAACGTAGATTAACTTTAATCTCGGTTCAACTTACTCTTTGTCTTTATCTAATTCTAAAGATTAGAAAAAGACAAAGAATAAGTTGAATCGAGACTAAAATTAATCTACGTTGGTGAAAATGGGCATTAGTCTGACTACTCTAACTACGTCCGAAAGCAGACTTAGCAATCCTGGAAACCAGGATCGTATCCTATTCTTCACTTAAGGCTCTTGACTACTCAGTCAAGAACTCTGCGTTGACGGTGGCGATACAGAATCAGACAGTGGTCTGGCGAAACCGATAGCGACACATTTAAGCACGAACCCATGTCCGTGTGCTTGCTGCAGCGCGCCAAGAGTGAACGAGACAGCGAGTTCTTTCTCACATTAATCACTTGTTTCAAGCGAACGAAAATGCTTTCTCGGCAATCTCGGTGGCCCTAGGTATATCAATAAGGGGGACGTAAATAACATATAAGTTTTAATAAATTATAGTAATAGTGTATCCCTGCCATTAATCCAGAATAATATAAATCGTATTAAAATGCAATAGTTTATGAGATATTTAATTGTTTACGATTTTTTATGCGCGTTATATAAATAGTATACTTCCCCTTTTTTTCATAAACTCGAGTAGCAAGAATAATTCAATAAAAGTAGAATTTTACCGGAAAAAAATTATAAACCAGCATTTCTTTTCACGAAAATCTCGAACATACACATTTTTTTTCATCAGAAAAAAATGTGTGTGTTTGAGACTTGAGACTTATGAAGAAAATATGCGAGAAAAAATTGAATAGTTGCAAAAAGCATATTTTTCGCTTATAAAACAAAAGATATTAATTATATGAAAAAAAATTAATACAAAAATGTAGGTATTCGAAATAACTACAAAATAAGACGTGGAACATTAAAATCGATCTATTAGTTTAGTAGAAAAAAAATGAAAAACATCGAAAAAGACCTTTTTTCACTCGCTCTCTGTTCATTGAGATTTAAACCCAAAGCTTCGAAATTCTCATAAAAGCCCTCGTAAAGACGAACAAATCTAGTCCTGAACAAGTCTGACATTTTCATTAATTTTTGCAAAAAGCCAGTTGTTTACTAAAAACCTGTCTGAGGGTGTACGGAAATTTCGCCAGGCATTAGGTAAGATTGAATGGAAAGGGGAAGGGGTGCAAGAGGCGTGGGAGGAGTTAGAGAGAGAAGTAATTGGAGCGGTAGAGTGGAGAAGTAAGGTGAGGAGGAAAGGGATAGGGTGGTGTCCATGGTGGGATTCAGAATGTAGGGAGAAAAAGAGAGAAATGCATAAGGCGAGGAGAAGGTATAGGAAAGAACAGGTAGAAGGGCGGCATGAAGAGTTTGAAAGATGTAGGAAGGAATATAGAGAGTTATGCGAAAAGAAACAAGAGGAACAAAAGAGGAAGGAGGAAAAGGAGGTG